CTGCAGCCTCTGTATCATTTCTCGTCATGACCTCCTCCTTAAGAATAGACCGTCTGCATGACTTTTCAGCAACTTGCTCAATGGCTGGCCCAATTTCTCGTTCACGCTTCTTAATGGTTCAAGTCGACATGCCAGGGACATTAATTGACGTCAGCAAGCTGTTAATGTGTGTTGGTCCCATGCCATAGTGAAGCATTCCTGTAAACAACAGTGAATGATTGATAACATCACACCTAAACAAGATAGTAAAACATTTCATGGTTAAAAGGAAAAATAATAAACACTTTCATGTGTGGCCCATTTTCAATACTAGAATGTGGGAATGCCAACATATTAAAAGTTTGACAATAATATCTGTTGACATGTAATTGAGGATGAACAAAATGCAAAATATGGACAGTGATAAAAATATACTGTCAGGGCAGCATCTAGTACTTGTCTTCTCACTCCTGTGACACTATGAAATGTGAGATTGTGGTTTTCATGTGACGTCCAACGTGGAGACAGTTACAGTGTGAACTGTTTACATGGAAATGTGAAAAATCAAAACATTTAAAAACAGCAAAAGGCACCAATTCAGTTGATGATAAATTCATACTCAAAAATTAAAGATAATGTTTTCATGCAGAAATATTCATTAGCTGTAGAGTTCTGGCCGAAACAAACGCTACTTGTTTGAGACCAAGTCCAAATTGTTCCCATTGAAACACAAGAAATTAAAAAAGGATTTTTTTTAATAAAGTGTCAAGGCAATAGTTGAGTATGTGGTCATTGCACATGTGGTGGTTGAAGAGAGATCTAATCAATGCACTAGATGATGGAAGTATTAATATTTGGTGCATTTGTTTTCAACTGCAAAATCAGGCATCCAAATATGAGAGAAATTACTACCAATATTTAGGTGAACATCCTTAAAATCAAATTAAATTTATCGCTGTGAAAAGAAAATGTTAATAGCTTGACACTAATAATGACAGACATTCGATCCATCACTGATTGCAAAAGTTTGACTTGTCCAAGCTGAACATATATCATTACTATTTCAATATTTCTAATTTCTAGTCATGCAAAATAAATAGAAAGGGAGGATATATCAGCTGAGGAAAAGTGTCAAACCTAAGGATTTAGAGGGTATTAATCATAGGTCTGATAGAAATGGGGAAAATGAAGTTGATGTGTTACGTGCCAGCGGCAATATTTCAGGCAGAAGTTACGACAGAAATCGGGAGATGTAGCTATGTTAGGAAAGCAACAGTAAAGCACAGAAATAGCCAAAGCATACCCTACACCAAAATACTTACCACTCAAATGAATATCAATATCTGAAAAAAAATGTTAATGATAATTTAGTTTCCATTCTCAAACAAGACAAAATGTATTTTCTATTTTGACACTTTAAAATGTTCACATTATGAAGGTAAACAATGCATAAATTTATCAAATAATTTATTAATCTTTCTGGAAAAATGGTGTCCAATATCAATTTCAATAACAACATTTGTTGTCTTACCTGCAGCTAATTTTGTGTTCACGTCATATATTGGCACCCCACGATGACCATTCTTGTGATGACTTTTGTCGGTAGGCACACTGTTTAAGATACCACACTTTCCACAGTTTATGTATAATATTGATGCAAGTCCGTATCTTGTTTCATCTATGATGTCACTCAATAGCAAAGCACACCTGCAATCCACACAGATTAAATTCTGAACGAGAATGAGATTGTGTTTATTGAAGACTTAAACTCAAGAGTGGGACTTAGATCTGATTACCTGGAACAGGGTTTTCAAGATATATAGATGACGATGATTATTCTGTTGATAACGCTCTCGATAAATCGTCTATGGATAAGGCAGTGAACAGCTTTGGACTTCAATTTTTAGACTTGTGTCGTTCAACTGGTCTACGAGTAGCAAATGGACGTTTGTGCAATGATATTAGAGGGAAATATACTTATCAAAGTAGCAACGGGATGCCTGTTATAGACTATTTGCTTTTAAAAGAATGCAACTTTGAACTGGTATCTCATTTTGAAATTCTTGGTTTTACACCATACAGTGACCATGTCCCCATTGCTGTTATATTGAAGTGTGGGACAGATCGGAGAATAGCTACAACATATTCACAAGAGGAATGTGTGGCACAAAAAGGGACAACAGCTATAATGAAATGTTTAAGAAAGATCTCATGAATCATATAGACCACATAATCTAAACTATTATTAACTGTTGTGAAGAAAATATTGAAGAAAGTGTTGCAAATGTGAGTGATATCCTGCTGAAAATTGAAAACCGCTATATGGAAAGGAGAAGGTGGACTGTCAGAGGTCAAACTCGCTTCAACGGTGGCTATACAAAATCTGTGTTTCGAGTAAGGGGGATTACATAAGTGCCTTAGAGGGACATGTCAGACATAAATAGGTCTGATCTGCATTCAAAGAAGAGGAAATAAAAGAAGATTGTACAGAGAAAGAAAAACATTTACAATAATAATAAATCTAAACAAATTGAGCAATTGCATTGGCGACATCCTAAGGAATTCTGGAAATTTTTAAGCCAAAAAATCATCAAATCTGGGAAACCAGTTAGATGCCAGTGACTTTGCAAAATATTTTATAACTATTACTTAGTTTGAAAGCTTTACTCAGCCGGATGTAGAAAAACAAGCTAATGAAGACAGAAACAACAACCCTGTATATGAGGATTGGGAAAAGATATCAGAGAAAATGAAGTACAGGTCGCTATTACAAACTTGAAGAATAATAAAGCAGTTGGAATAGATAAAACAATCTGATAATGAAAAAGATTTTTATATGCAGTGCTGATATAGTGGTTTATCATATGATGGGTAGGTTTCTCGGCAGGATAAAGCCAACGGATGAAAACGATATCCATTGGGATCATATGCGGATAGAGATGCAAATATCAAAGGTCAAGTAGGGACTACTTTCACTGTTTATAAACAAACATGGCGTCGCCCTCGTCATTCAAAAGAACAGTCTAGAATACTGAAAATCAGTGTCTAACTGTGACTTACATAGCTAAGGCATTTTTTAAGTGTTGGCAACTTTGGAGATATAAATTTCGAAACAATTTTGCGAGGGCACGAGGCCTAGCCAAGTGGGATGAGTAGCCATAATTGTGCTTGTAGACCTCTGCGGCCTGAAACCTTCTCCACAAATTAAAATAGTTGGATTTGGCCGAAATATGTTTGAATTGTTACCGTGTTTCGTTTTGTCGCTGTGTGTACATCTGACTACACTTCTTAAAGTTATGACAGGACAGACCGACTGTCAACAACGTCTGACCGTGGCCGTGACGTCTCATAGACTAGGGTTAGAGTTGCTTCCCTTTGACAAAGGACAGTTACTCTAGCGGACAGACCGATGGATTGTCGCGAAAGGCAATTAAAAACATTTGTCGTTTTGCGTATATGTTGTTTCGCCAATATAATAGCAGTTGGAACTATATTTGCTACTGTCACTGTCTGACTGACACATCACTTACCCTGTGAAGTAATCAATATTAATGCGCGGATTCCTGGAAAACTCGCAATGTTTCAGTAATGTTTTTGAGAGAGGGAAAGTGATTTCTAAGCACAGAATTAAAGAATGACATTATATGATAAAGAGGTTATCACGCTTGTGTGTTTGGGGATGGTAAATATCCTTTATTAGGAATAAACACTATGTATTTAGCTCGCCAAGGCTCGCTAAATACAATGTTTATTCCTAATGCAGGATATTTACCATCCCCAAACACACTCTCGTGATAACCTCTTTTAAACCATTAACTATATTATTTAATAATTTCATACTTTGAAGGTTACACTGTTTCTTTCTTGCTGATTGGCTGAAGGGGTAGTCGCGTGATCTGATATTTGGAGTTCACACACCTGTGAACGGACCAAAAATAGTTCACACGATGTGAACAATATTTTGTGAAATTGATCGTGTGAACTTTTGCCGGAACTACTTTCCGGGGTTTCCCCGTATTCTCGATCGATGTTTACGATCAACTCATATCAACTCCGAGCTTGCGAGGTTCACACAGTTTAACCAACGCTTTTCAATTGTTCACACTTCAATGAACCGATCCAACCGACGTTCAATTCTTAAATAAACTTTTTAGTACAGGCATATTTCCCAAGGCATGCTGTACTGGATTGATAATTCCTATTCACAAGACAGGAGCCAAAAATGACACTAACAGGTACAGGGGTATCACTCTAAATAGCTGTTTTTCAAAGTTATTCACTTCAGTGTTGACACATAGATTATCTGCTTGGGCGGAGCAATACAACACAATATCTGATGCTCAATTTGGGTTTAAACATGGATATTCCACTGTCGATGCCATTTTTTGTTTTACAATCCATTGTAAGTAAATATTTAGGTGATAAGAAGCACCTATATTGTACCTTTGTTGATTTAAGCAAAGCATTTGATAGTGTTTATATAAATAAGATCTTTGTTTAAGATCTTTATGAGCGCTGTTCGGGGGGGGGGAAATGTGGAACATTATTCACCCAATGTACACAAATGTAAAGGCAACTGTTAAGTTTAACTCCACTCTGTCCGATTATTTTTATATTGGTGCTGGAATTAAACAAGGGAAGGTGATGTCACCTCTACTCTTTTCTCTATTCTTGGAAGACCTTGAGCTCAAACTTTGAGAAAACATAGATGCAGGATTGTTGATTCATTTTGTTAACCTATTTATGATGTTATTTGCTGATGATATTGTATCTTATCTAAAACAACGAATGGGCTCCAACTGTTAATAAATAGCTTGCAAAATTACTGTGAAGAATGGGGTTTACACATAAACGTCGATAAAACGAAGGTAATGATATTTAGTAAAAGAGGGAATTTACATAAAAATGAAAAATGTTTTTTAAATGATGAACAGCTTAAAGTGGTAAAACAGTTTGCTACTTTATAGGAAACGTCTTTACAAGTACTGGATCATTTTCTTTGTGATACAAAACATTAGCTGGGAAAGATTTAAAAGCTATGAATGTATTGTTATCAAATATTAGAAACTCTAATTTTACACCCCAAACACTACTCCAATTATTTGATTCTTTCGTTACATCTACAATGTACTGTGGTTGTGAGATATGGGGTACGGTAAACGGGTGCATCTTAAATTCTGTAAGAAAGTATTAAATGTACATTGAAAGGCATGTACTATTGCAGTATATGGAGAACTAGGTCAGTATCCTATTAACATCAATAGATTTTGTAGAATTTTGAAGTACTGGTTTAAATTAAATAATACTTGTAATTGTATATTACAGGTTGCATATAATATTTGTTTGCAGCATTGTGATAAAGGTGTGAAAAATTGGGCATGATATGTAAAAGATATGTTGTGTACAAATGGTTTTACGTATGTGTGGTTAAATCCTTTATAAATCCTATGATATTTGTCTCTTTGTTTATACAAAGACTTATAGATAATTATATACAAAATTGGAACTCAGACCTCAATAATAGTAGAAAGTTGATGTTGTAGAGAAATCTAGAAGTAACTTTTGGTTATGAATTAAATCTCAATATTTTACCATGGGGTCGACGGAAATATGTAACAATGATTAGAATATCGAGTGACAAGTTAAAAATAGAAGTTGGACGATATCACAACATTATCAAAGCTCTTAGATACTGTGATTATTGTCAAGCTAGAAGTGTTAACATACTTGAAGATGAGTATCATCCCACATATATAGATAACAGAGTTAAATATATACATAAATATTATTGGGAAAGGCCATCTGAATTAAAACTAGTTACCCTGCCACAAACAAGTTGTAAAACACAACTGTTACACATTTCTAAATATATTAAATCCTGTTTACAGTAAATATGAAATTGTATCCTACCTCCATTGTCAGTATATATTTTTGTTGTATCTGTTAGATGAGGGGCAGAAGCCCAAAACTTTTTCATGAATAAATATTTCTTCTGTCCTGTCTTCTATTCACATTTACCCACGCAGACAAATTTTCAAGGTGAAAGGTTATGGTAAGCTTCGTCCAATCAAATGCAAGGATTCAAGGAGATTTCCCCCTTTCGTCACCACTCGCCCCTTTCCGTAACCTGCAAGAAGACTATCGATGAATCGATGAATCTTATGTGCGAAAGTACGACAAACCAATCAGAATGCGTATATGATTTCAAGTTCTTCGTCAAAGAATCCCTCATAAATATTTTTTGATTTTACATATGTCTTGCATATAAATATATACCCAAGACACATTTAAATGTGTTCAATCATACTGTATAATTCCGCACGTCCCGATTTACTTTAAATTGCATCTGAAATAAATAAATGGGGAAATATATGTGAACCATTATGCAACGACTTGACAATTGTTTTGGGTATGCCTGTTTGCGAGAGGTTGGTCACGAATGAGATTTCCCCCTTCTCTGTCAATGTGGTCCTCCAATTGCCCCATCACTGGTCTGAAGCCAAGTGTTTTGGGTCGCTGGCGCTAATTGGCATCTGGTGATTATGTGGGCTAATTAAAACGGTGATGGCTAAACGACTGAGATTTGGAGTGTAGTTTGCCTTTAAAAACACACAGAACCTTTTATGTACTGTCCCTTTAAAGGTTTATTGAAGAAAAACCAGAACCTAAAATATATTGAACATCATACTGTGATTGGAGAATACAGTGAAAACAATTCATTTCTTAGCACTTGGATTCTGCAAAACTATTAATATAATCTTTAATTAGCATTATTTCATTCTGACTAAAATCATGTATATGAAGGACTCTTCAACTGTGGTATTAAATCAAGTACATTTTATATTGACATGGAACACTCATAGATTCGCATGTGAATATACAAAATACTGAAAGAAAATTTATGTCTACAACAGTAATTGTACACACAACACAGTGTATTCATGACAAGGTGAAAACCTAGTGGTTGATATCTGTATGAAATAATGATATCTACCCCCCAGGTGATAAACATCAATTTTCATGCTACCAAACCATATTCAGTAATAGGTGGTCGGATGGTCTCAAACAAGACAATGAAAATGGATAGATAAAAATAATAATCAACTCTTATTGACAGAGATATTCGATGGTTATTTATAAAAAAGATAACAATGATTTGTTATTGCAACAAAGCATCAACATGTGATTTGACATGTAAATATTATGCATTGCCAAACCTCAGCTAAACCCAAAAGTGTTTACATTTTCTATCATAGCTACCACGACACAATTGGTTAGCAATGGGAATTAAGTTGTGTGGGCTAGACAACACAGGTCTCTGCTTGTGGCATTAAAGATAAATCACTGGCAGTGATGCATTAACATACAGGACCCGGTTGTATCAAAGCCTCATTAACTAATGCCTACATTAAACCCTAATGATACATTAAATGCTTAATGCACCATTAGTTAATGGCATCATTAAAATCGGTTGTATCAAACGTTTATTAGCATATCATTATCTAATGATGCCTTAATGTAAGTGTCTTCATTAACCTGTCATTAAATTCGGTGTTTCCCCTAAATATTTCCCACAATTCCTTGACGTAAATACGTACGCGTTACTTCTGGTCGTCTGTCAAAATGGCATCGTATCCACCCAAACCTAGGAATAGAAACAAGAATTTCGACAGCTCCGAAATTCAGCTTATTGCCGAGTTGGTGGAGAAACACATCTCCATTCTTAACAGTAAGTTGTGTAGCACCGTCATCCACGAAAGAGAGAAGGCTATTTGGGCAGAGATAACTTCCAAAGTTAACGCTCTCGGTGTTTGTCAGCGTACAACAAAAGAAATAAAAACAAAATGGACGAACATGCACCAGACGGCCAAAAGGGAATTCAGTAACAGACAGCTGGACATGAGGAAGACCGGGGGAGGGCCCTGTATTGCCCCACTTTCCACGACGAGTGAAAAGATAGTGGACATTTACAAGGAATGTCCCAGTTTCACTGGACTCACGGGCATCGAATCGGACGATCTAGTGATGCAAATGGGTATGTCGCCTGCATTCAATAAAATATAGATACACAAACTGTTGTAAGTGTTAAAAAAGGACTTTACATGATACAATGAACTAGTAGCCTAATCAGCTGTTCATACACGTTGAACAAGGCTATGGGGAATCGGGTATTGCACATGATTTGATGATCATTAATCAAAAGGAAATGAAAAAAGAACATTTAAACAACCTTTTTGACAACATTTTCAATTAAATTGCCGCGTGTGATAAAATACACAGTGCATATTTACATTTGTAATGGTATTTCTGATCCGTTCTCCGACAGGCAGCCATTGTGGAAAGAGAAGGGGGGGCAACTCTCATTACCCCTATTCCAAACCAAGAAGTTCATGTTGTGTCTTTCGATGTTAAGTTCAAATCTTGACATTCTTCGTCTCCAAATGCAAATTTTATGTGAAGCATTTATACTTTTCATGAGAGAATTTTCTTATGACAACGAAAATTGGTTGAAAAAATATGTCACATTATAGCAGTCATTTTTCTGAAGGTGGCTGCAGACATAAAATAGGCCGTGTCATCACACAAATATATCATACAATTCTAATATATCATTTCCTTTGGTAATAAAACAAATGATAATAACCCTGGTGCCGTACCTCTCCCGTTTTAACAGTGTAAAAATATTAATTATATTATTAACTGATGTTCAATAAGTGTGCAAAAAACTTTGTGTGTGCAGGTACGGAAGTCGCCGATGTAATTGGCTCTCCTTCGACTTTACACCTGTTAGCACGGGCTTTAGAAGAAAATGTTTGCGATGTCCCTACTCAGGAAGCGTCTGTGCCCAGTTGTTCCAGCACACAGATCTACCCAGAAGGAGAACTGTCTGTCGACGCATCTGCGTTACATGACGACATTAGTACCATCGAAGAGTATGTCCTGTTAATTAATACTGGAATCTTACTTCTTGCAGCAATGCTAACAAACATGTAGTGCCAAGTCCTTTTCTCTACTCGCCCATCCCTTAGATTGAAACACTCATACTAATTTTGGCCTTAAACACACGCGTTTATAGCGTAACATTCACTGTATATACACACGGAGACTCTCATGATCCAAAAACAATTTATTTTTTCAGGCCTTTGGTCCAGACTGGGGGGAAATCAAATCGTGTCACCAAGAGAAAGATCAAACAGGATGACATCACCAGACTGCAGTATGAGGTTTTGCTTGAGCAGAAAAAGAAAGTCATTCAGCAAACCATTGACTTTGAACTCATGAACAAGAAGCTCCGATTGGAGTTGGATAGCTTGATGCACCATGAATGAAAACGACATCCTCATGTTTGAAATGTTACTAAGAGTTCATTAAAAAAAAAAATTAGTTTGATAGTGTGCTACACAGTGTTGTGTTGTATATTGTATAGCTTCAGTTGAACGAACGGGAGATAACTAACAATGTCAATTCTAATAAATTGTTATCCATCTTCTACTTTATACTACATACAAGTAACCAAACACGTATCACTTCGGTAGATTGCTGGGTGCTCTTTACGTATGTAGCTGTCAATAACGATGAGTTGATGAGATAAGGCGATCAGTTAATACATGATTTCGACGAAATTTATGTAAACCATATTCAATAAAATTAATGTGTTAGACTCATTGCTAAAGATACACAAAGAACCTTACATGCTCACCATGAAGTCTTGGCGTTGTGCAACAAATTCAAACTCATTGTATCCGTGTAGCGTTTAGCTGTATTTTTTCTTAAGGGAAATGTGCACTGTGTACACTGGACAATATTTACGCAGTAATCTAAATTTTAGTTAAACATAGCTGGGAAACTCTATCCCTTTGATTCAACACGAAAAGACAAAAGTGCACGCCAAAGATTTTGATTAAATATTTGTAAGAATTATATTTGCACGCATTGGCAATTACATACTGCGAACACTGTCAACTATTTTCTTCAGTGACAACAGATGGTATCTCTGCATTCTTCTGTATAGTTATATTAAAGCAGAGACAGTTTGATCATTTCTGTTAGTGAAATAGTGCCTTGTGATATAATCACGGATGCCCCGTCCATCTTCGGGACCTGTATATTGCTCTTCAATGTTACTGTCGTCCTCTCCATCAACATCCAGCATGGGTTCACGAAGAATTATCGCCAGATTATGCAACACAGCACAAGCACCTGTGAAATATAGTATGATTGTTTAAAGGGTCTACAGTATTGTTATCATTCGATTCTTATGTTATATGAATGAGTGTTTCCCACTGGTGTTAGCACTTATATATCGGTTATCTTCAAATTTATTTCATAGTTACAGTGTATATTATTATCTTAGTAAACTCTCTCTGGGCTCATCCTGATTTCACCGTGCAGAACATGGAAACACCCAAATGCTCTTTCTATGGTTGACCTTGTTCTTTTATGGGAAGAGTTGAATCGCTCTTGCTCGGGGCTAGATGGCTTTAGATACGGAGTCATCAAATACGGACGACATGCGTATCCACTGTCACCGAGAATAACGCTGTCTTGTAGAGTCGTATGGTGTGTTTCCAGGTGTTGCCGTACGTTACTCATCTTGAACACGTGGCTGTCATGCGTACTGCCTGGCCATCTTGCCACTAAGTTAGTAAATTTACCTACAGAACGAGACAAATGTGGTCAATGTTAATATAAGTCAATATAACCTTCGAACTTGGTTCATAATGCGGCCACTGCAATATAGCTGAAACATTGCTGATCGCAGCGTTAAACAACAAATGCTGAAATCATATCATACTATAAAGATTTGTCTGATAGCTATTTCGTTTAACAACGTGAATGGTGTCAGGGTCGTAAACATATTGTCCTTGTGACTTTGAAGGGAGGACGTGTATGCTCCATGTACAGGTTTAACAGTGACATTTGATTTGTTATTATAAAAAAATATTTAACACACCTTGGCTGTCACACACTGCTTGAACGTTGATCGAATGGTAGCCTTTCCTATTGACAAAGGCAGGTTCGCTGTCTGATGGTGCCTGTATCCGTACATGTGTCCCATCGATACATCAGATGACTCCAGGAAATCGAGATATATTGTAGAATTCCTTTCTAATGTCGCCTATATCCCTCTCGGACGGCCAGGTAATAAACTTGGGCACAAGAGACGCAATGGCAAGGGAAACTTTCCTCACAACTCGTGAGGCTGTTGATTTGTCTATCCCTATTGTGTCGCCAGTGATTTGCAGGAAACTTCCACTTGCAAAGAAACGTAGGGCTACCAGAACCTGATAAAATGATTATTAAGAGGCTAATGATAGGTTTGACAAATTTTCAAATATTTCCATAATACTTATATCCACTTTGTTATTTATTTGGCTGCGTTTTCATTATGTCTCACTAAGTAAAGTGTTAATTATTGATATAAGATGTGCATGCTTTAATTAATTAAAAGATTCTTTTGGCCGGAATTGAACACGCAAAACTGTTCTCTTCAGTGTGCACGACACATTTAGTTTAAGTCATGAGAGTAACTCCCCCTTATGAAATTGATCATGGCTGACAACGCCAAGTTGAAAACGTATCTTTCTGGAGTGAAGTGAAAGGGATCCATGAATTTACATTACTTTCAATTGTGAAATATATTTACAAGGTTGGTATCATTAGGCTGCACATAAGACTTTACCAACACAGACCAGTGAGCTGACCCACGTAGAAGTGCGTTTCATTCATTGTAAACATTGTCGCTATAAATTTGGCGCTATAATAATATGTTTATTTCAAACTAGCTGAGTTTCTAGTGACGACATTTACCTGTAGTTCAACACTAAGTGCGTGCGATCTTGCAGATTTGGGCTGTAATTCATCTCTCACAAGATCGCAGATATATCCGATGCTTGCCTTCCCAAAACGGTAGCGTGCCCTTACTTCTTCATCGCTCATGGATTCGAGGTGTTGAGTTCGTTTTCTGAAAACACGGTCTTTCCTTGTGCGTCCTAAGCGTTCAAACAATATGTTCGCGGCCATGTTTGTTTTTAATGACACGCTAATGATGCCCCAGAACCTTCATTAAGTTAATGACGCGCTAATGACACCACAACGTCATTAAAACGTTAGTACAACTGGATTTAATGATACATTAGTTAATGAAGGTTTAATGACACGTTAATGCATCATTAAAGTTTGATACAACCGGGTCCAGTACAATATATACTTGAGATTTGCATATATATATATAAGACAGAATAAAGGTATTATTACAGACAGTTCTACTTGAGCTTATAATTATAAGGTGCTGTTAATTCATGATTTGACATATTTCAAGAGATATTGTGTATTTGCCACCACTGACCAATGTACACTGGCTGGTCATTGAACACACACATTGAGAAGACATTGTTGCAGAGGCTATCACTCTACAAATCTAACAACATGAGAAAAGACAAATACATCAATACACTCACAGATCAGCTTGAGGTGCACTTAATATGTTGAATGATTTCTGACGAAGAGCAAATGCACATGAGGGAATGGTTCCTGCTGTCAGCTTTAACACATGTCTGCTCTGTGTGACATTTCGTGATGTATATCACGAGGATTGTTAAGTAAATATGTTTTAGCAAGAGGGCTTGGTTTGGAGGTGGAATAAGATAATTGAAAATTCTGAAATATGATAAGGGAATAAATAATTTAAAGTTGTAAACTTCTGGAATTTGTCGACGGTTGATGATTTTGAGTTAATTTTAAACAATTTACTTCTCCTGCTAAACAGACCTCAATTTCACATGCATACGAGGGCTGGCTGAAAAGTTCTAAGCCTAAGTGGGATATCTCAATTGGATTGAAACAAACTTTTGCCACCAACAAGTACAATCATTTAATGAATCATAGACATAAGAACTGCAACTGTAGTGTTATTATTGTCTTTGTACCAGACCATCTTGTGAACCTACCCATTGAAATCACCAGAAATGGACAAAACTGGCTATAGGGCAGTCATCAAGTCACCTACAATTGAAAGGGCTTACTCCAACACAGATACATGCTGACATGGTCTCCACTTTATGGGATGATGCCCCTTCCTTTTCCACTGTAAAGAAGTGGGCTGCGGAATTCAAGCGTGGCAGAGAGAGCTTTGATGATGACCCGCGTCCAGGAAGGCCTTCAACAGCAACCATTCCGGAAAACATTACCTGGGTGCATGACACGGTGATGGCTGATTGACGATTGACCACTCGACATATTGCCAGTGTTGTGGGCATCTCTCATGAGAGTGTTAAGCACATTATCACCAACGAGTTGGGAATGACAAAAAGTTCTGCGAGATGGGTGCCAAAGCTCTTGACAGCGGATCAGAAACATGTCAGATTCCTGACGTCCCGTGACAATTTATGCCGTTTTGAAGCAGATCCTGATGATTTTTTTGCTCGATTTGTAACCATGGATGAGACCTGGATTCATCACTTTCAACCAGAAACCAAAATTCAGTCTAAACAATGGAAGCATCCGGAATCACCAGCCCCCCAAAAAGCCAAGTCGGTTCCTTCTGCTGGAAAGGTGATGGCTTCAGTCTTTTAGGATTGCAAGGGTATTCTTCTGATTGACTATCTTGTAAAAAGGCCAGACTAACAATGGAAGATATTATGCTGACCTACTGAGACAGTTGCGTTAAGCTATCAAAGCTAAGCGACAGTGAATGCTCACTAAAGGAGTCCTGTTCCACCAAGACAATGCTCCTGTTCACAAATCGGTGGTTGCCATGACAGCGATCCATGATTGTGGCTTCGAACTCATTGACCATCCCCCTTATTCACCCGCCCCGTCAGACTTCCACCTGTTTCCCAAAATCACAAAGGAACTAGCCGGTCGCCATTTTCCTAGTAATGATGACATCATTTCCGCTGTGAAAGACTTTTTTAGGGTGGCTGAAGATAATTTCTCCTCGACTGGCATCCAGGCCTTGCAGCATCGCTGGCAAAAGTGTGTAAACCTGGAAGGGGACTATGTGGAGAAATAAATGAAAACCATCGACTTGGTACAGGTCTTTCACAGTTAGGCTTAGAACTTTTTAGCCAGCCCTCGTGCACCATGTTGTGATAGGAGTGTAAGCGTACAGCCTATTCACATCATGCAAGAATATCCATGCTAACTGAATAACTGTGAATAATATAACTGTTTGTCAATCTAATGATAACTCCACCTCTTGTCACAATAAAAACTAGTTCACTCTATTTTGTGTGCATAGCCTAGTGGTTAAGGTGTTCACTCGTCACACCGAGGACCCATGTTCGATTCCCGACATGAGTACAGTGTGTGAAGCCCATTTCTAGTGTCCCCCGCCATGATATTGCTTCATTTGCTAAAAGCGGAGTGAAACCAAACTCGCCCACTCACTCATGGGA